AAAACTAACTTATTCGGTGGGCCCTATACTACTTTAAAATAAGAGGTATCATCGTGTCTCATCGCAAAGTAGGTGGAAACCGGCCTGTTTCCAAAGGAGTCCGGATAAATCGGATAGATCACTGATCGAGATATAAGTTCTCTACAACCTGCCTTTTCTGCGCCATGTCATAGGCACAACTGCAACCATATCATGGAAACGTTTGTGCATATGTTTTGTCACACACAAAATGAAAAATGCCTTAATAATGTGAACGGTGGTGAGTCACCTAAGAGCACAGATATTTTACCACGCCTGAAAAAGATTAATGCAGCGAGTTGCAGAAAGAAAAGTGAACAAAAGTATGATAAGAAGCTGTTTCTTTACATTCAAGGGACATATACACGAAACTAATCATGCAAATATGCTGCATACTTAGAATAAATTTGTGGAAGTGCAAGCACTGATGTACAACACACAAAGATCGCAACAGAATTAATCGCAGGCTGAAGTAATACTGCAGGAAAACCTACGGTGGGCCTCTCCTACCAAACTAGGAACACAAGACTAGAAGAAGCCAACTTTGTTCAAGGAGTGCTAGAATGTCCGTCAAAGAAGTTAGCACTGCGTGCACGGACTCCGAGTGCTGCGCTGGCTAGGTACACACCCAATTACAAACAAAAATGAAAAAAGGAAAAGGCCAAATAGGAATGGATTAGGCTAATAAGCCTAATGAATTCATTTGCAGAATCCGCATATGGACGTCGTATTTGCCTGCTGGAATTTGCTTTTGTTTTAAAGCTGAAAACAATAAAAAATCCAGCGGGGAAATGCAACGGCTGCAAATGAATCCACCCTGAGAATGTGGCTTAATTCAATAGTCTACTAGTTCCTATTTGGCTTTTTCCTTTCTTCACTTTTCCAAGACTGAGTTATTGGAATTAGGTATAAATGTCAAATGCGCATGCTTCACTCTTCAGAGAGATAAACCCGTCAAGGCTTGAATGTAGTGAGGTAGAGTGATCTGATAGAACAGATGCTACACTAGCTCAATATGACGTAGAAAAAGAGGAACAGCAAGGAAAGTTGTTGTTCCGACCATTAAAGAAGATTTCCAAAGAAAAAAAATACTGTAGCAGTGCGAAGCGCCTTCCACCTTATAAATATCCACCAAAAATTCACAAAACATCGTGAGGAGAGAAAGTAAATATTTTCAAGCATATTTTTTGCCTCCATTGCAAATTATGACTAAAGCACATACAAATGATTTCTTTAAAGCTATCAATGGTAAACGTTGTGGCTAACAATAGTGAAAACAAATGGACTTGTACCATGTTTTTCTACAAATTCATGGGAAAAAGCAAACGTGATATTTTTGCATAGAGAACAAATCTGGCGTAAATGTATGTCAAATTTGTTTAATTTAGAGGTGTCAAAAAAGGCAAATGTAAAGAAGATGTCAAATTTACGTCGCCGTTTCGCGTAAATCAACGAACAAATACCTTACACCTTCAAAATTTCTCCTGATTAGGTCAAATTTAAGGCCTTTAATTTGCATCCAATTAACTTCGGTTGCAAAGCTGTTTAAATCCAATTTTTCACCCAGTGTCAAAAAACAGTAAACGTCGCGTGGCCAGTTGTCCGTCCCTCCCTTTATGGGTATTTTTATAATCATATAAATTCCCTCAATTTTAAATTAACAGTGAGCTTTTATCCTCGTCTTTCGCTGCCCTCATACGCGCAACTGTTGTAGTTGTATAACTGTTTTTTTCTCTGTTCGCAACTAGTAATTTGGTGACTTCTCTTTTGACCTCAACATGAAAGGAAGAAGTGTTCTTATTTGCTTCCTATTTTACCTGTTGGTAGCATCGCAATGCGTAATTGATAACGCCTCCTCCTCTCTCGCTAAGGTAAGAATGTCCAAGAATTCAAAGTGAACCACGCAGAAATGATTTTAAGTTGTTGAATTTTGCAGCCAAAAGTTTAAGCAGAGTAAACACAGTTAAAGTCTGCGAAGTCTTTAAGCAGCAGTCTTCATGTTTTTACTTAAATATTAGATAACAACATATTAAATATTGCCAGGCTGTGGTAATAAACTCTATTTATTCTAATAAATGCTTAAGTCTTGTTCTTTAATTTCTCTTAACAGCGAATAGATTCGTTAATGTAGATATTTACAAAAAGTACTGTAGTTTTAAAGTACATCTGACGATCGGGCTGCGCGAATGAACATCTACCATCGGAGCCTGTCTACGATAGGGTGTATTAAACGCGTGACCCTCGCGTTATCACAGCCCGTTTCCTAAAGAGAATTATAAAGAAATTTAATAGTAAGGCTGGTGATTGATTCTACATGTGTCCCGTGTGAGATCAACGACAATCATGAATTTTACTATTTCCAATAATTTTTATTAGTGAACAATAAGTGAAGTATAGATTTTAATAAAATACCTCGACTAATTATTTAACGAATAATTAAAATATAGCCAATTGATTAAATAAAAACCAAGTAATTAGCATATGACTAAAAACTGAACTAATCATACAGTGAAGACCTATAAATGACCATACATGTCAACTGGTCTCTACATTCGCCTCTACTGGCCACGGAAATGCAGCCTTAAACCCTTCTTTTAAATGAAAAAGCTATAAAGAGATTGTATAAAATGCAGCCTAAAACCATCTTTCCTCAGTCAGACGTATTAGAATATGCAATGGCGGAAGCCAGTGTCTACGGGAGCTCCACGTACGAGCTCTGTAAAGAGTTTTTGCAAATGAAACCACCTTCCATTAGTAACTGCACCATGGTTGTAGCCAACCCGAAAGCTTTGCTCCTTTGTCCAAACACACTTTTCCAATGTAATATTTATTGCAACATGTATACTAGCTCTGATTTTCCCCCTTTTTTACTTTCTATTCTTATTCTATTTATGTACTTTGTTTTGAATAACTGTGAATAAACTGAACTTGAACTTGAACTCAAACTTCTAATAAACTGCAAAAAATCCTGGACAAAGATCCTACTAGTGGTCATTGTTGAATCTCAGTAGAGATCAGCTTAACTTGAATAAAGTAACATCCCCGACCTGAAGAAAACTGGTTTAATAGACCTTTTTACCGATACGGCGGCCATATTGAAACAATTCGATTTAAGTAGTATTATAGGATGCCCAGGGGGCATGAGCACATTTCGTTTGTATTTTTGAGCGCTCTTCGGGACATTTGTTCGTAAAGTTTTCTTAGAATAAGATTGTAATGGGAAAAAAGATCCTTGTGTCGTGTTTGGATGTAATAATGATCGCCTTTTTCCCGAGACTATATACAGTCAAGGCAATATTTCTAATACTAAACTAGGAAAAGGCGATCATTATTACATCCAAACACGGCACAAGGATATTTTTTCCCATTACAATCTTATTCTAAGAAAACTTTAAGAAAAAATGTCCCGAAAAGCGCTCAAAAATACAAACGAAATGTGCTCATGCCCCCTGGGCATCCTATAATACTCCTTAAATCGAATTAATTCAATATGGCCGCCGTACCGGTAAAAAGGTCTATTAGCAGGAATAACTTTTTGAAATACATGAGCACGTTGTATAAGCTTTGCAGTAGTCCTTGAACTTCTCGTATATTATTTTTACTACCATTTTTAAGCAAAATGGTTTCATCCACTGATTTCCTTTAACTATTGACATAGAATTCAAACACGTGCTTGCAAGGATCCCCTGGCCTCCCTGGACGTAACGGAGTAAATGGATATAATGGGTTACCAGGCCGCGACGGCCGAGATGGTGCAAAAGGAGAAAATGGCGTGGCAGGTCCCTCTGGATCACGTGGTATGAAGGGAGAAATGGGACCAAGTGGAACAGATACTGATCACAGAACTGGAAACAGCGCGCGTGGAAGACTAACGATGGTCGTGATATTGGACTGATTAAGGTTGGTTGAATTTTGCTGTCTGTGGTTCGTTTTGACGGAAACTGAGGAAACCATGATCCGAGTGGTTTCGGATCACTGATACTCATCCGGATCATCCCAAAAGCACTCACCCTTAGAAAACGAGGAAAATAATCGCTTATGTTCCGACCAAGTTTTTGTCTCACATAAATCTAGTATATATTAGTTGCGGGCGGCAAGAGGAGCCCGCAGACTATTCTTGGTCAGCCAGTTTTAGTAACGCGCAGTATAACGCTTCCTGAGAAAAAATCTTGTTTGCCTTAGGGTTGATTTCCACTGTCGCGTAGTTTTTACGTGCGTAGGTGCGTAAATTTTACGTTCGCAAATAAAATAGAGGCAGTGTATGAAAGGTCGCTCGTAAGCGTAAAAGTAGAACCTCGCTCAACTTCACATTTAATCTCAACACTTTATATGTTGCCCCTTTTTTGATTAAAATTAACGTGCGTTAACGTGCGCAGCCAAAAACGCGTCAGTGGACGAGTTGGAGAGAAGTTTGGGAACGAGGTTGGGACAACCCTCAGATGGAATTTGAAACGAGTAGGTGCGAGCGGGGTATTACTGAAATATTACCTGATCAGTCCATAATTTTTCGCAAATCAAGCTCAGCAGCATGATAGGTACTCAAAGGGTATTTTGTTTTTTCATACGTTGGAGTATGGGAAATGCTTTATTTGAATCATGATCACGATACTCAGTCAAGTTACACGACTGATATTCAATGTTAGTAATGACTTATGACAAGAGCCAAGCAGCAGGCAAATTTTCCGAAGCTGGCTTCATGTTCATTGTTGAAATATAAGATGAATTGGATAACAACATAAAGTACTGCCAGAAACCTAGTGATAAACTCCAATAATTAAAATCCAAGTCTTGGATTTTAATTTCTCTTGATTTTGAATAGATTTGTTTCTAAGCCAGAAAACGTACGTACTTTTGAATTACAACTGTCGCCTTTGTTACGTGCGTAGAGTTGACTCGCTGGTTATAAAGCGTCCGCCAAAAGGTTTATTAACGTGCACCCATCGAGGATCTTGATAAGGCTTGATCAATTTCATGTCACATGCATGATCAATGATCATCATCAATTAGTTTATTTTCGACTGTTTTTCGTGAGTAAAAAATAAAATAAAAACCATTCTTACTGAGAGCAAATTCAGTTTATCTTATTATTTTGAAACCTTTAGTTACAACGCAGTGGTTTCTCCTCTAATTTCTTTAAACTCATATAACACAGAACTCAAACACGTGTTTGCAAGGAGCCCCTAAACGTAACGGAGACATAATGGGTTACCAGGCCGCGACGGCCAAGATGGGGCGAAAGGTGAAAAGGGCGTGACAGGGCCCCCTGGACCACGTGGTGAGAAGGGAGAAAGGGGATCAAGAAGAACAGACACCGATCACTGGGATTGGAAACAGTGCGCATGGAGGAGTAGCGATAGTCGTGATATTGGACTGATCAAGGTTTGTTGATTTCACAGGGATCAATGCTTCTAAAAGCCCTCTGGGCGAAAAGAACATTTAACACTAAGTGAATTTGGTTTTTTTCCGTTACTGTGTCATGTGGTTCCTTTAGACAAATCCTTAGTTTGCGTGTCTACCAAGGATAGCACATACATCTGTTTCTAAGTCTGTTCTCCTTTGAACAGACATAGAAATAATCGTTGTTTCTATTGCTGCAGGATTGTCAGTTTACTAAAACCAATGATGACACTGCTCTCCTTGTGTTTTACCAAGGAAAAGTAAACGTGGGAGGTTGTAACGACTGCTGCTAGGGATGGTTCATCACTTTCAATAGCGCCGAGTGCAGTGGTCCCATGCCTATTATTGACGTAGTGCTGTGGATCCGAAATAAGGACGACCACAGACCAGGATTCATTGAGGGCTACTGTAAAAACATACACAAGAGCAAAATCCGAGTTGGAATCAACATTGGAAATTGTGCAGGATATGGAAATTCTGATGGTAACACAGGCTGGAATTCAGTGTCCTGTTTGATCATTGAAGAAGTCCCTCGGTCCCAGTAACAAGTTGGCAACCTTCATGTAGTTATTAGTTATGTCGCTTAAAGATTCTGCAGATAAGTGATTTCAAAGTGGAAAAGAACTAAGAATTAAGGGCTTTTATGACATTTGCATGTAAAGCAGTTCAGTTTAAATGCCACACTAAACTCAGCACGTGACTACTGATGAATGAAAATGTTATTTTTGCAGAACCAGCCATCCTCAAGATTAAGCTCCATCCATCCTCAGGGTGATCAAATATGTACTCATCCTTAAGGTTATTAAATATGCGCCCTTCTTTAACCACGCTCCTTCTCACAGAACTTGACTCTTGAGAACTACGACTCTTGTGGTACGTTAAAGAACCCAAGGGATGCAACAAGCTCTGTCAGTTGCTCGGCCTAGTGTATATGTAAGTGTCATGGGGTTGTAGGCAAGGGTATAGAGGATTACCTTGCATGAGAAACATAATTAGCATTCAATCGGTTAATGGTTTAAGTTATGCGTGATCGCGTAGCCTGATATAAACACCAAAAGGGTGATGCAAACCCGCGACGGACTCTCATGCAAACACGCCTCTCAGCCAATCAGAGCAGGCGTATAAATGGATATATAAACTCCTTGAGATACAGTGAAAGGGTTGCAAGGTAAGGCCTTGGACATAAACTGCAAACCGGTCGACTGAACTCATACTTGCCTTTTACTAAACAAAGCGAAAAAAATTAAAACACTGCGTATTTATCGTGAAGGATCGTCTGGTCATGACTAAATACCAGGAAAATTTCATAGTAATTATTTTAAAAACTGTAACTTGACCTTTGTTTTTCTTCAAAGTTGGTTAACCAAAAGCAAGCCTTTGGTGTTTTTTTTTTTTTAACCCCCCCCCCCCCCTTTCTCGATAACTGAGGCTACTAATTTCACATGGTTTCTGGAGAAGTACAGGAACGGTCTTCAATATACTCTTCAATCGGCCTTGTAATTAATTTCCATTATTTATAACGAATGTGTTGTATTAACAATCCTGGTTCATCCAATCGCGCAGTGCAGGGTATTGATGAATTGGCATTGATATATGATTTCTGCCCATTTTTCCACCAACTGAAATTCGTTAAGGGGCTATTTTCCCATTTTAATTTGTAAAAAAGGCGAAAACTAATCTCGTACCCAGGTCTTTCAGCATAAGACAGAGTGAGGCCTGAGTGCGAGATAAGGCACACACTGTTTTCAATAACAGGAGTGCTTATTCTCTCCATCTGCTCGATGTCCTGATCACGTAAACTGCGAGGCTTCTGAAGGGGGAAATGAGAAGAAAGGCGCCCGAGGAAAAGGGACGCTCTTTATGTACCTGCGCGCATCAATTCCCACAGTTCCCTTCACTCCTAACTCCTTCCACGTGAACGTAGGCAACAAATCACGTTAAACTACGAGCTAGTTAACCAACACCTGATTCGCTAGACATGTAAAAAAATGGTTGGAATATTGCGTGTAAGGTTTTATCGCCAACAAAAACGATCAAAATACCCAAAATTAAACACTGTTATCAATAAAAACACAGTTCTTCCGCTCTTTTGGTGGATGATGTCTTAGTAGATTACTGAATACAATAGCGGTAGAGTCCTTCCTCACACAAAGCCTGTGGTATAATTCTTTGATTAGAGTTATGGACAAACCGGTCTACTATAAAAGTTGGTATCAAATGGGCATTTCTCAGGTGAATCAAATCGTTAAGGAACAACCAAGTACTTTCTTGTCACCAACAGAATTTGAAACAAAGTTACATATAAAGGTTTGCCCTTTGACATTCTATGGAATGACATCTACCCTCCGAGAGCTCTGAAAAAATCAAAAACTGCCAAGTGTACCACTAAACTGTAAAGAACAAGAGTCTTTCACATCCGCCTTTTTAAAATCGAAAAAGCCCAGCAGACTAGCTTATCAAAAACTGGTGGAATTAAAATGTAACCATAAAATTTCTAGTCAGGAGAAATGGAGCAAAGTTTTCCCAGAGGCTCGTGATTTAAACTGGCATAACGCATATATGACCGCTTTTAAATGTACCAAAAGCACCAAACTGACTGAATTTCAATTTAGATTCCTTCATCAAACTTTGGCAACAAACGTATCTTTAGTCAGAATGGGATACAAAGATGATATTAGGTGTTCATTTTGCCATGAAGAAGCTGAAAACTTCGCGCATCTTTCTGGTTCTGCAGCAAAATAGAACTTTTCTGGAAACACCTTATTGCCTTTCTAAAGGATCGTAAACTTTTACCCAACGACTATCTCCTTAACAGTCTTATCGTCTTGGGTCTGATGCCTGATACTTCTAGAAACAAAGCCGCCATTAACTTCGTTCTGTTACTTGCGAGATTCTACATTTGGCTTTGCAGAAGTAAAGGAAATATATATACCAACTATTGAAAATTTTAAGCCTTTTTTAAAACAATATAATAAAGAAATTGAACCTTTCCCTCTTTAGTAACCTTTTACCAGTTTGGGGTCTCTCGCTCTTTTTACACTTTCCTTCCTACTAGACATTCCCTTCCTATTTTCCTAGCTTCAACTTTCAAAGTATATAAAGCTAATTTCCGTGATTCAGCAGAGAAAATATCTTTAATCTCTTTTTTCTCCTTTGAGTTAGAACTACAGTTAACTAAAACTTGCCATACTTCCCACCCCCTTTTCTTTTTTTCTGTTTTTTGTAGCGTATGTAATCCGTAATGTAAGTAGTGCAAGTAGCTGTTTTATATATGTAAAGCGTGGAGTATAGTACTTTTAGCAGTGTAAGCATCTCATTGTAAGTAATTGCAAGTTTTGTATTGTAAGTAGAGTATAGTATTGTTACTAGCGTAAGTATCTCACATTGTAAATAAGTTTTTTTTGTAAGTAGAGTATAGTTCTGTTAGTAGCGTAGGTATCATACATTGTTTGTAAGTAAGTATTGTAAGTAAGTACCTTGCAATTCAAAATAAAAATTTAAAAAAACAAAAAAGTCGACCAAAAAAATACTAGATGTTAACTTTAGCGTTTTAGTCAGTAATCCATCATTCTCTTTCCTGAAAACGTGCGTTGGCTATCAACGTGCGTCAGCTCAGCTTGAGTCAAACTTTTGAGCCATGCGCATGGTGTTATAATAACTCGGCCTCTTCCACCTCGGTTTAAGGAAGATTAAGAGATTAAGCTGTGATCAAGTTACCGTACGTGTTTCTCTTCACAACACGTAGCTTTCGTTGAAATCGATCGATACAAACATTGAATTTATGTTCTCATCCTCCACTGCACTCAACACAGAACCCCAAGACTTGTGTTATCGTTTGAGGTCTGTTTTCCCAGTTTCCACTTCTCTTTCGTCTCTCTTATAACTTCCAAATGGAAGTAAGAGGTGTTGTGGGATGCTTTCTATTCTATCTGTTGATATCTTCCAAGTGCTCAACTGATAACGCATCCTCTATCGCCAAGGTAAGATTGACTCAGTGGGACTAGTAAAATAGTAATTGAGAAAAATTCGACTGAATTATACATTTGCATTAAACTGTACAAATTTCCCACTGTTTCAGCGCAGTATAGAGAGCCGGAGTTGTAGGGAGTCGAAAGAAGTAGTGCTTCTTTCCTTTTTTTAGATATGATTTGAATCATTGTTTATTTATCAGATTAACCAAGAATGTTTGCCCCACTTTAATTTTTTCATGTTCCAACATACGTAGATAGAGATAAAGATAAGTCTTCCGCAGTAGTTTTTCTCTTGATCATGAAAAGATTCGCGAACGCTAGTGCTACGAGCGCAAAGCACGATGTTCTCACGATCCACAATCACTAGCCTCCACGAAGGAGTTTATTGAAGATGAACCCTTCGAGTGATTCGATTGCGGGACTATGATAACCTCGACAACATTGTAAATAAGGCTCATGATCGATTATGTGTTTTAAGGGGACAACTGGCAATTTATTGTTGCTCGAAATATCAAAGAGGCTTAACTTTTCAAGAGTGGGATGCCTTAAATGTGTGCACATCTCAGTTTTTTTTTGTTTTGTTTTTTAAGTTTTCGGGATCATTCGGGGCAAAAGTATAAAAATGATAGTACTTCCTGAGAAAGCGGATTCAGTATGGTTTGACTAAATTGGCAAGCTTTTTAAATTTCTAATTCCTTTATTAAAACTGATGTGAACAGAACTCTAGAACCTGTTTACAAGGATCACCTGGCCTCCCCGGACGTAACGGAGTCAATGGGCATAATGGGTTACCAGGCCGCGACGGACGAGATGGAGCTAAAGGTGAGAGGGGGGTGGCAGGTCCCCCTGGATCACGTGGTGAGAAGGGAGAAATGGGACCAAGTGGAACAGACACTGATCCCAGGAACTGGAAACAATGCGCGTGGAACAACGACGACACCAGTGATATTGGACTGATCAAGGTAAGATGGTTTTAAAATTAGCGCCATCAACGGCTCCAGTCAACTTTGGTTTTGTTAGACACTAAGAATGTGCATTTACAAAGGATGGTATATTCTTGTCCACTGGTATCCTTACGGGGTGAAAAAGGTCGTTTAAGTAAACAAGAAAACCAATAATGAGGTTTTGATGTTTTGTTGCAGGATTGTTCCTTCAATAAAACCAAGGATGACACTGCTCTCCGTGTTGTTTACCAGGGAAACCTCTATTTGTCAGGATGTGGCGGCTGCTGCAAGCGATGGTTCATCACTTTTAACGGCGCCGAGTGCAGTGGTCCCCTGCCTATTGACGCAGTGCTGTGGATCGGAAATACTGGAGAAAAC